CATGGGAAACAACAAGTTTTGCATAAAGTAAAAAAAAAAAGATTAAAACAATAATAATAAAACAATCGCCTAGTAACCGAGAAGTTTGCCACTGAATTGGATAACATCAATTAAAGAAACATTGATAGGTAATTTAGATAATTAATATTCCAACGGAAATCAAGCAGGTGTCGCTGATTGTATGGATTTATTGGAGTTTTGTTACCGCTCCAGTTGAAGGCAGACGGTGTTTGAAGACACGCTTCCCTCCACTCCTAAATGGATTTATTGAGCAAATTCTACAAAATGGATTTATCGAGCAAACTATTGGACCACGAGTTTATTTTCCCTGCACAATAATTACCGTGTACAGCCATCGTTATATAATTTTCCATTTTACGTACTAATTATTTACTTATATTACCGTAAGAACGTCAAACTTATGATATACATGTGGTAAATTTTTAGACGTCTTACTGTACGACAAATACTACATACATGCTTTAATAAAGTAAAAATATTTCACCAGAGGGAGACTTTGTACAAAAGTCCATAGGTTGGGTACCTCTGTCCCATTCGTGTTTCAACCGTGAAGCAGCTGTGTTTGCATGGCTGTGTTTCGGTTTGAAGGGTGGGATATGGCGTGAATTTACTGGGTACGGAGGAATAACACCTGAGTCCTTAGGAATGGCAACGCATGGGGGGTATCATGGGCGAAACAGTATACTCTGTTATGTCCATGGTACTGCTCATGTCCATAGGCGACGGTTACCACTTTCCATCAGGTGGACCGTCAGCTTGTTTGCCATTCTAAGTAGAATAAAAAGCAATTGGATACAATATGCAATATATGTATGATTAGTGTAGGGTACTTATTAAAAACAACTTTTTGCCACGCACGAAGTTATTTATTTAATATTTTTACATAGTTAACAATGTAATTTTAACTAATTTGAAGGTCCACTTGACTCGCAACACGCGAAATCAAGGGTTCAGGGTTTTATTGAGCCTAGTAAATGTTCGTGGATAGAAATTGTACAGTCATTAAAGTTGTACAAACTGTATTCCTTATTTTTGATTCAGTCTAGTGTATATACAAGTGGATAGTATGTATTGTCACCCAGTAATGTTGTAAATGTGAATTTGTAAACATGAATATGAATGTATGTTACTGATTCATGCTTAAGTAGCTGAACAGATTTGGATGAAATTGGGGTACAAGTGGATTATATCCTAACTTAAAACAAGATATGTTGTATACAGAAATACGTGGGCGAAACCGCAACGAATTTAATCCCATTTTTACAACAAATTTTTATCGAGTAATCAAACTTTTTTAAAAATTTATACTTGCTTAAAAAAAAAGGCGAAACTAAAACCAAAAGACGAAAAATAAACTAATATTAGACCTTTTATTTAAAGTAGAAAATCTGTTTGAAGTCAGTGACAATTGATGCGTTATGTTATTATGGATATATTTGTATAATTTAACAGTTGCTTGCCATAGCCTAAAGGTTGATCTTTAACCCTTATCTAAAATATATAAGTATTTCATAAATATTACTTTACAATATTAAGCTGTATGTATCGCGATTATTGTTCTTGCTCTCTTTTGGCTTTGCACCAACATCAAGCAGATTTTGTCCTTTCAATTCTAATTCTAATATTTGTTTATATTTAACTTTTTGATATTTATTTCGTCTTTTCTTTTTTGAAGTCGATCTAATTAAAAAAAAAGTTTATTAATTTTTACCTTTAGTGTTACATATTGGCGCCGGCATTAATGGTGCATGAACATTGGAGTGCAAGGCTCTGTATTATTCCCAACACAATTTTTACTAAATATCAATAATTAGCTGACTTCAGTCGCCATACACTGTTATACGGATGACAGTACTGGAGATGCATTCTACACGGGCCATGCAAATATCCCTCGCTCCGTTGTGGAGACTAATCCACACTTGACTAACAAACAACTTGTGAAAAGTAAGGGTACTCTCGCTATTATGTCGGAATGGGGGCGATTTAATACAATTTAACCTATCTAAGAAACAAGCCTGCGCGGTCGCCGAAAATACACCATTTAATGCGGCTCTGCAATTCGAGAACACATTCCATTGTCACCTCAAAAAGTATTAGGATCCTCGGTGTTAACATCCCTAGCACTGTAGATCCGATGTCATTTAGAAGATAGGATTGACACTATCGCTTTATCGAAAAACTCGGGATGCTCAATAGAGCTAAACGCTATTTCACTTTGAGACAAAGACTATTGTTGTACAAGTCACGAGTCCAGCCTCTCATAGTCTGCTCTCATCTGTAGGCCAAAACACTCGGATACCAGCTTGATTCTCTTGACTCGTTTCAAAGACGGATATAAGAATTGTCGACGATATCAATCTCACAAGCAGTATTTAGCTCTTAAATGTAAGGAAAGACTTTGCCCCTCTTTAACGGTAGAATATCGCTTGTATATCGGGTTGTATTTTGAGGAATTGTTAAAAATGATGCTCACAGTAACCTTTTATCATTGCACCGCTTGCTTATAGAAAACAATGACCTACATAAATACCAGACACGAAATGCTATCAAATTAATAACCGTGCTTCGCACACTTATCAAATCTGACAGATTGACTCAGATGATGAGTCCAGTTATATATTATAAATTACCTAACTGTGTACTGCAGCTGCAAGAAGTATAAATAAAAAGAAAGACTGGCTTATCGCAAAGGGCTGCTATAGTGTTGAAGAATTCTTTTTTTTTATACAACTTAAACAAGCTGACAGCTCACCTGATGGAAAGTGGTAACCGTCGCCTATAGACACAAGCAGTGTCAATAATTCATAAAATATAAATAATCGCTAATGCTGAAATTTATTATTGTAATTACAATTTGAAGTGACGTAATTATTTTTGTTCTAAATTAATATTTTAAATATTTTATTATTATTACACAGTAAACGTAATGTTCTCCAAATTTGACTAAAATATTATAAATTTGTAATGAAAATGGCATAATTAACTAAAACTGGACTTTTAATTTTGTAAATTATGAATAAATTATCTATACCTGTATTTAATGTACTCAATATTTTAATATTTTTAAAATGGCCGTTGCCTCATAATGACAGCATAGCATACCTGATCTTCAGAATTGGTGGGGAAAAGGATCGTTAGTAATGGGATCTAACTGACCTATTGCTAGCAATACAGGTCGACCTTCACGCGGTTCCTCTGAAAACCATCGTGGTTAATTCTAATGGAGTCCAAGCAGTGGGAGCTACATTTTGCGATGCTCAAAACGAACCCAAAAATTTTCTGATCGCACTCTAGATCTTGAGGGGAAATGGCGTGAATTATGGCCCCAGCCTTCAACATCTGAGTCAGAATACAGGCAGCTTAATTGGCAAATCTCTAATAGTATACGGCGTGAAAAATACCAGTTCAATACTGTATGCATTGAACAGCCAATAGAATAGAAATAAGGCTTCAGTCTTTGCCAGGAATTTGGCTATTGACGGTGATTTAATTTCCGCCACATCTAAGATTATGAGTGAGATTGAGAAGTTCTATGGACAGCTGTATACAACTTTGTTAACACCGCATACTAATGCGAATAACGATCAAAGAGCTAAAGTCATCCGACACTATAACAATGATATTTGGGACGTCAGTGTGTAGTATATTGAAATGACTCTCAATTAACTTAAAAACTGCAATGCATCGGGACATAGATTGCACTTGTCGTAACCACGACATGATGTAATGTAAGTACTATTTACCTGCAAAGGTTTTTCATCGCATTAAGTCCCGATTGTGTATTTAAAAAATGAGTAAACAACGCGAGAGTTTAAAATTAAGGAGATTGTGTCCTTTAAATAAAACGTTTAATATAAGTTTATTTTTTGTTTTTTTTGTTTTAGTTTCGACTTTTTTTAAGTAAGTTTAAATTTTTAAAAAGTTTGATTACTCAATAAAAAATTGTTGTATTTCAAAATTGGGATTAGATTCCTTGCGATTTCGCCCACGTATTTCTGTATACAACATGTCTTGTTTTAAGTTAGGATATAATCCACTTGTATCCCAATTTCATCCAAATCTGTTTTTTTTTTTATACATGTTAGAATGGCAAACAAGCTAACGGCCCACTTGATTGAAAGTGGTAACCGTCGCCTATAGACATGAGCAGTACCATAGATATAACAGAGTATACTGTTTCGCCCATGATATGTTCCCCCCATGCATTGTCATTCCTGAGGATTCAGGTGTTATTCTCTGTTCAGCTACTTAAACATGAAGCAGTAACACACATTCATATTCATCTTTACAAACTTCATATTTACATCATTACTGGGTGACGATACATACTATCCACTTGTATATACACTGGACTGAATCAAAAATAAGGAATACAGTTTGTACAACTTTAATGACTGTACAATTTCTATCCACGAACATTTACTACTGGAGGTAAACGTCTGTAAGGGTCGGCGTGGGGCTCCGGGGCCGCAACTGCCAAATATGCCATCGCCACTGCGACCAGGACCACGAGCACGAGCTTGTACATCTGGAAAACAGTGGTCAGCATTGATTAACATACGGGCACGTTATAACTACATTTACTCTTATCCAGTCTAAGTGAGAAGACATAGATATATAATTTTCATGTTAGTAATAAAATCTTTATATTTAATTATTGAATACTCTCCAATACTTATTGTTTTTATTAAAAGAACAAAAGTATAATCATAAGTAGAGGTAACAATATTATATCTATTTACCTTGATTGCAGCTACACACAACAGATTCAAGTTGGCTCGTTTTGAAATGTTGGACCTTTATATACCCGCGAAGTAACAGTAATTATCATGTTATCGCTTTGCGGTTAAATTAATTATTTTTAAAAACTTGGCCAAAGGGACATAAGTCTTAACTGAATCGTATTAAGTATTAAATTGAACGGCAAAACAATCATCATTTAGTGAGTATATAACATTGTAACACTGTAACACACAATCATTTGAAACTGTTGTGTGGAGCTACAATCAAGGTAAATAATTACAATATTATTTCCTATTATTATAACTTCAAATATATTTTCTTGAATAACTTCTCATGTAAAGATGTCATCATTTGGCGACAAGTATTTCTAAGCTGCCTTAATTGTAAATGGAAGTCTCAAACGTGGTTTATTGGACGACAGCTTTACGTGCCCTCCGAAGCGTAACGATATATGTATATTTATTAAAATAAAAAAATATGTATATATATATATATATATATATATATATATATATATATATATATATATATATATATATATATATATATATATATATATATATTTGAAAATAGGCTTGAAAAATAGGCTTGTAATTTATAGTTTTAAGAACTGTATCAATATTAGATATCTTTATTTCTATAATAATTATAATGACTTAGCAAATGCATGGCAACATATTCTACTAATAAAAAACTTTATTCTTAAGTGTGCTGTATAGATTTACTGAGTAATTGTAGATTTTGTATTAAATTATGCTTTTATAATTACAGTGGCGTGCAATTGCCGAGTCATTTATTTATTTATTTTATTTGTTTATTTTTTATTGTACACAAAAAAATACAAACATATAATATATATTAAATAAAGATGTACAACAGGCGAGCTTAACTCTGAAAGAGTTCTCTTCCAGCGAACCCTGAGTGGAAAGGAGCATTAATTACCAGCGGGCAGTGTGCGTACAATAATGGGAGGAAACGATATAGTTGTTTCTATTAATAAATAATAAATATGTTGACATATATACAAAGTAACTCATATAATTATAATCAAAATACATACATACATATCTGTATACAATAATACATATACATATATACATAAACATAAAATATCTCTTCACATACAAAATACGTTCATATACATACATAGACATAATAAGTTTATGAGGACAGAAGATGGTCTTTTAATCTGCTCTTGAATATATTCAGCGATTGACTTTCACGAATATGCAGTGGAAGAGAGTTCCATAGTCTAGCCGCATGAACCGTAAATGATCCACTATAGCATGACGAGGGATTTTAAGAATAAGGGACTTACTCGACCTATTGGACATGCCAATGGGGACAAGGAAAGTGAAACGTTCACAAAGATAAGATGGGGAGGAGGAATTAAACAGTACAGAATACAGGAAAGATAAAAGATGAAAATCACGACGTTGACGAATTGGGAGCCATTTTAATCTGCTTCTGTAAGACGAGACATCGTAATTATAATAAAAATAAAGATATGTAATATACCATATCGGTCACTATTCTTGAATCCAATTTGTTTGTTTCAATATAAGATCTCACAAGTTTTTGTAGTGGAAGTACTGGGTTACGAGACTTGGCACTTTTTTACATTTTATATGTTTGTTGGAATCTCATTTCTTTTTGTAGCTCAGCCTTCTTCTTCTTTTAAGTTTTTACTACTTAAAGGTTTTATATACACTTGACTTTTAATTTAGAATAGATAAGAATAAATATAGAGTATAATGTATGTTATTCAATGCTGACCACTGTTTTCCAGATGTACAAGCTCGTGCTCGTGGTCCTGGTCGCAGTGGCGATGGCATGTTTGGCAGTTGCGGCCCCGGAGCCCCACACTGATCCTTACAGACGTTTACCTCCAGTAGTAAATGTTCGTGGATAGAAATTGTACAGTCATTAAAGTTGTACAAACTGTATTCATAGACAATAATGACAATTAAAAGCTAATATGATGATTATCCTTATTGTACCTAATCACATCAACTCTATTTATACCTGTCCACCTTCTGCAGTAGAGAGTAATACTCGTAAATTTCTTTGCCTATCTCCAACTGCATTTTTGCTCTTACTGTTTGCACAGCCAAACATAAGCGTGCAACGTAAATCACTAAATACTTGAACAATGTCGACATGCATTGGCTGTTTTAGAGCATTGTTTTTCCAGCAACCGTTATCAATGCTAAAATTGTCAGAAATATTTCCATAATAAATGTTTCAATATAGGAGAAGATCACTACACAAGCTGCAAGCACAAAGCTGCAGACAAACTGCAATGTAGTTTCACGGCACGAAGAATATACCATATATTGTCATGTAACTGGGGCAATTAAACAATGCGGCTCACCTGATGGTAAGTGACTCCCGCCGCCCATGATCATCCACAACACCAGCGGCATTAGTAATATATCTCAAAGGCTTTTAAAAATAATACTCTTTTCTTGAAGGTTATGTTGTCGATCGCCGGTACCGGCACTAAGAATATATATTGTCTATGTAACTGTTTACTTGAAATAAATTAAATAATTAAACAACGCTGATACCGGGACATAAGGATTCATGGACATGTCCATCGTGTAGTAATATATCTCAAAGGCGTAAAAATAATACTGATACTCAAGTTCGACGCCAAATACCGGTAGGGGACAATACAGTGAACGTGTCATTTATTAATTTTTTTTTTTTGTATCTCCAGCACTACTCTTGGATGTACCACACTAGATACGAGTACATTAGAGTCAGTATGGAAAAAACTTAGCACCTTTTTCGTCCAGTAATTTAATGAGTCGCTTTTCTCATTTATTAATAGTTTCTGTGTGGCATTAAGCGAGGATATTGCGGCCATGGAATTCAGGTGATTAAGACATATGTGGTAACGGAGATGAAGGATGATTAGTGTTGTTGCTAGTTTTATTTCACTTCGCAGCAAAAATCTTTAATATCTCGGACCAGAGGGAGACTTTGTCCAAAAGTCGATTGCTTGGGTACCTCTGTCCCGTTCGTGTTTCAATCGTGAAGCAGTTGTGTTTGCATGGCTGTGTTTCGGTTTGAAGGGTGGGATATAGCGTGAATTTACTGGGTACAGAGGAATAACACCTGAGTTCTCAGGAATGGCAACGCATGGGGGGTATCATGGGCGAAACAACATACTCTGTTATGTCCATGGTACTGCTCATGCCTATAGGCGACGGTTACCACTTTCCATCAGGTGGGCCGTCAGCTTGTTTGCCATTCTAAGAGAAAGTATAACAAATAGAAATAACATTAAAACTAATAACTGCTACATAATTATTTTTCTAATATTAGACAAAATCTAGCGGAAGATATTCTTTCAAAGGAATCCTTCCAAATCTCCTGATTATTCCAGTCGTCAGTGCAGTCAGATATCAACTATTGTTTTAACATAGACGAACCCAAATGAGGTTTATATTATTCTGATGGGACTTAAGTCTCGGAGTGTGGATGGCTACGATGATATCCCTATTGAAGTTTTAAAATCCTATAGTGTAATAATTCTTCCTATTATTCGGCATCTAGTTACCCTGTGTTTCTAACGAGGTGTCTATGCAACATCACTTAAACGTGCTACAATAATGCCTGTGCACAAAATTTGGGACAGAGATAATGTTGAGAATTATAGACCTATTTCGGTATTACCTACACTATCAAAATTATAGAAAAAAATAATAAATAATCGTTTAATAAATTATATAAATAAATTTAATAAATTATTAAAATTTCAGTACGGATTTAGAAAAGGTATTTCAACTGAAGATGCTATGGTTTCCTTTACATCTAATAATAATTACTGAAAAAATTGATAAAAAGCAAAAATGTGTTACTATTTTCCTGGACTTAAAAATAGCTTTTGACACAATTTCCTTCCCGACCCTTGTCCACAAGCTCAAAAACGTAAGTATATGAGAAATTTCCTTAGAACTATTAAAGGATTACCTCTGTGATCGAAAGCAGCAGAATAGAATTGAAGCGTGTTAGGACCGACCCTTTTATGATGTATATAAATAATTTATGTAACTTAGAATTTGAGGAGGGTCAGATATTTTCCTATGCTGATGACACTGCGATAGTTTTCTCTGGATTTTGTCCACAGCTTAGCTATAAAGGGACTTGCGATGCCAAGTGTTTGAACACAAACTTGTTACACATTGAATATTTTTAAAAGCAAATACGTATCTTTCTCTCTAACAATTCTGAGCCATTCTCTGCATACCAAATTAAAACCCATGCATGTAGCAACCACATAAATAATACTTGTTCTTGTATAGCTATTGAGAGAGAGATAGCTATCGAGAGAGAGAGGAGAGAGCTATCGAGAGAGAGAGGAGAGAGCTATCGAGAGAGAGAGTAAACAGTATAAAGTATCTTGGAATAATAATTTTCCAGCGTCTATCCTGACATGTCCATGTGGATTTAAGATGTCCAGAATTCGTAAACCAGTGTGGATATTCAGAACTCCAAGACATGTTACTAGTAGAGTATTATTAAATCAAATTTATATACCTCAGGCTATATAATATTTATTACCTCAGGCTATCTTGATATATTGCAACTCAGTTCGGGGAGGTGAAACGAAGACTAAATTCCTGGAACTGGAAAGAACACAAAAAGCTTTACTAAAGGTAAAATATTTATAGAGGTATACATTTTCTGGTGAAAGACTTTATCTCATATGCGATCCTCTCTGTAAGAAAGCTTTACATAATTCAGACTGTATTGAGAGTACATGCAAACTCCCTTATGCTAACAGACCTTTGAGTAAAAGAAGGAAGTATAATGTAGCTCCGGTGGTCTCTACAGCAGATAGACAATTTCTCAGTCAATCAGCTTGTATTAGTAAATTGTAATAATAATAATGTAATAATCATATTAATAAAATCCTTAACATCTACTCTATGATTATCTATATTTCTAAAAACACCTTAATAAAATGAATAAACATTTTGATAAAACTGAGGTTATTTTGTACAAGAGTAGACAATATTCCAGCAACAGTATTTCCAAACCGATACGACAACATAACCTTCAAGAAAAGAGCATATTCCTTTTTAAAAGGCCGGCAGCACACCTGCAATGCCGTTAGTGTTGTGGGTGATCATGGGCGGCGGTAGTCACTTACCATCAGGTGAGCCGCATGCTCGTTTGCCCTCTGTGTTGTAAAAAAAAAAATAAAGGCCATGACACACACACACCCACACTAGAGCGCGCACACGAACATACGCACGCACGTACGCTAGCACTCACACACATACACACACACACAGAGAGAGAAATAGAGAAAGTTTTCTGTTTCGGCTTTCATGAGATTCTCTTCATGCGGTACAGTGACGTCCACCAAAAATACCCTCCAGAGTGCCCGATCCAACAATACGATATCAGGTTTGTTCAGAGGAACTGTCCAGTCCGTGATGATGGATCGTGTCTGTGCCAGTACTCATTGTTAGCAAGAGCTGAATAATCCGAAAACACATATCTGAATGACTCTCGGATATGGCGATACGCCCAACATATGTCTTCAGGGCCATCCTGGAGAAGTTGACGGCCCACCTGATGGAAAGTGGTAACTGTCGCCTATAGATATGAGCAGTACCATGGACATAACAGAGTATACTGTTTCGCTCATGATACCCCCCATGCATTGCCACTCCTGAGGACTCAGGTGTTATTCCCTTGTATCCTGTAAATTCACCATATCCCACCCTTTAAACCGAAACACAGCCATGCAAACACAACTGTTTCACGGTAGAAACACGAATGTAACAGAGGTGTCCAAGAAAACGACTTTTGTACAAAGTCTCTCTCTAGTAAATGAAATGAAGATTATATAAAAAAAAAATGCAAATTATTTATATAATATTTATATCCTGGTTCACTAATTATATAAATGTTAACTTATTTAATAAAGATTTAATATCAATTATACATTAATAGCTATTTAATTTTTACATAATAATCGATAATCAATAAACGACTAATACTTTGTAAATTCCCGGTATTTCGACGTAAATATTCTATTTACATGTGACTTTGACCGCTTGATCAGGATATACTATAAATACTAGTAAAGTATTACTCTTGTAAATTTAATTCCTTCTGGTGTTAAGAATTAAACTGCTTGCATACATGTACGCACGCACGCACGCACGCACGCACGCACGCACGCACGCACGCACGTACGCACGTGTTCGAAGTAATGGGAAAAAAGGTAAATCTTAAATAAAAAATAATTAAAATTTCTCTTTAGTTCCAATTGGATGAAGCGACAACTTTAAGTATACTACAAGGTGTCAGTGGATGCAATCTGGTCAGGAACTATTCCTTGTAGCTGTATGTACATATGTATGTATGTAAGGCCTATGTTCATCAGTGGACAGTTAACGACTAAAATGGTGATGATGCCAAAATTTACTATTATTATTATTATTCACAATATACTTACGTATGGCGACGATTTTTATACTAACAAATAAATTTTGAAATATTTTAACACAATCGGGGCTTGACGCTAACAAAAAAGATGCAATAAAGAACTAGGTATTTACTATTTACCTGCAAAGGTTTTTTCATCACATCAAGTTTTTTTTATACAACTTAGAATAGCAAACAAGCTGACGGCCCACCTGATGGAAAGTGGCAACCGTCGCTGTAGACATAACAGAGTATACTGTTTCGCCCATGATACCCCCCATGCATTGCCATTCCTGAATACTCAGGTGTTATCCCTCTGTACCCTGTAAATTCACGCCATATCCCACCCTTCAAACCGAAACACAGCCACGCAAACACAACTGCTTCACAGTTGAAACACGAATGGGACAGAGGTACCCAAGCAATCAACTTTTGTACAAAGTCTCCCTCTGGTACAAGTCCCAATTGTGTATTTAAAATATGTGTAAACAAAGCGACAGTTTAAAATTAATTAAATAAATTTGAAATGTATAAT